TTTGACAAATTATATCGATTAATAAATCCATCTAACCATTTGTTAGAAAATTTGAAATTATTGATTGTTGTATAGATTTGCTTCATTTTAGCAGTTGTTGCAAGTTTCTTAGCCTTTTTAATTACCATATTACGAATTACAGTAATGCTTGCTTCTCTTAAACTTTGAACCCATTCAAATAAAGATTTTTCTAATTCAGATAATGCAGCTGACCTTTCAGAATGTAATTTTTGAGTATACGAAACTGAAGCTATTAGTTCTTCTTTTTGGTTTGCCCAATACCTAATTTGTTTGGTCTCAATATCAAACATTCTTGTAGCCTTCCTTTTACTAAATCTTTGAGAATATTACATTTATTTCTAATTATTACCATGTTTTTAAGTATAAATTGAAAAAAAAAATAAACATAAAGGGCAAAAAAGTTCCTTTATATATTTTATTAAAAAAAATATTTTTGACAAATTTCATAAATCCAAAAAAAAAAATTTTTGCAAAAGAAAAATTGACGATCAATCATTTTATTTTTACAAGTATACGTCATATATAGTACCCTCCTTCGATCACAGTATCCCCCTAGTATAATACCCTGCAATATTTAGTAGAATGTAAAATACCCTGGGTACTATACAGAACGCTTTACAGTAATTTTTATAAGCCCTTCAATCCCTAACTTTTCTCAAAAGCAAAAACTAATACTAAAAATAACACCTGAAGTAGGGAATTAATACAAATAGAAATTTTTAAACAACTAAAATATCTTTATAAGTCCTATTCAATTCTAACTTAAAGCGACCATCTAGCAGAAAAAGATGCATCCAAGTAACTAGGTTTAAATAGAGGCTCTTTATATTTACAGATTCATAAATATAGAAAAATATCACATGAAATCTACTACGAAAGTTAATCTACATCTATCTGTAGAGTGAAGAAAGAATCTAAGAGTATCATTTCTTTTGGAATCCACCAACCGAAAAAACACTTGTAATAGTCAAGAAAAGAAAAAGCAGTTTTTCAAACATTAACTAAAATTAAGGAAACTATGTAATATCACGCTGAATTGCATATAATTTTTAATGTCAGAGATTTGGAGAAAGGTAATAGCCAATAAAAAAAAAAGTATATTTGTTTAGGAAAGTGAAAGCTGTAATATTTTTTTACCAATCATATAATTTATGACAGAGTTTCATTTTTTTGAGTTCTTCAAACTGCTCTGATTATCATTATCCTTATCATGATCTTTTATAGAAGAAATATTCTGAAAAATTGAGAACTCTTGATTAACTGATTCATGCGATAGTTTCTTTCTATTATATTTCTAATTTTATTACTAGTCTTTTTCTTATGTATCTCATTTAAGAAAGCATCTATTTCCTTAATGTCTGATTATATTAATCCATAACAGGTATAATGAAATATCTACTTCCATAGGTAAGTGAATTGAAGTTAGATGAACTGTCTCTATTCTACTTTTGTGATTCTATCTCTAAACTTAGCATTCTTAGATTCAAGTTTAATAGTAACTACCTTATTTTTCTCTAGCTTTATGATTATGATATTAAGATTATCAACCTTAACTGAATAATTTGCTATAGTTTTTTTGAAGCTTGTCTTAAGCTCCAGTCTTAACTCCATTTTCTCAGCCTTAACTTCAGCAAACTTTAGTAGCTTCTCTCTGAGTTTGGGAATATTAGCATTCTCCTTTCTAAGCTCTGCAATCTCAGCTAAGAGCTTGGAATTTAATTCTTTCAATGAATAAATGGATGGCATGTTTGATAATAATTTTTTATATAAGATGAGATAATTCAAAAGTTCGTTAGCATAGATAAAAGAAACGAGGTAATATCCTCATCAGAATTACTGATTTATTGATATAAAATATAAATTACAAGATTCGATGATACATAGAGTTTCTATACTATACAGGTGTTTCGTTCATATAAAGCTAAGCTATCTATATACTAACACAATATCCCAACTCTAATCCGATTTCATTTGTGAGATATGCAGTGTCAAATAATAAACATTTACAGTACCTTAGAAAAAGCCCCGTCGAAAATTTGTCCTCGAAAACCTGAAAGAAAAATAAGTATTAGTTTGCAAGCTCTAAATCGCTTTTTTGCAAATATACAGCCATGGCCGAAATATTCATACCTTGATTACGTCCAGTCTCTATTTTTTTTTTTTTTTTAGGACACTGGATAATTTAAATTATCTCGGCAATAATTTTTGTGCGCCATTATGAACCATCCTGATAAAGCCCGATCAATACGATTACAAAAATACTTTCCATATAAAAAAGCTTATAAATACAGAATACCAGAATGGCAAACAGAAAAAAAAATGCAAGAATTGTACAGTAAAGTGTGTGTTGTCGGAAGTATCAAGTTTGTCGCTAGCAAAGAAAGAGAGGAAGAGGAAAAAAATCTGGAAGTGGATGAAAGATTTTCTTGTAATCTAGCAACAATATTGGCAAGAGACCAAGAAGTGGTAACAGTAAGATTGAAACTTTTTACCGATAAATGTGTTGTTTATATTTCTAAAAACGAAATTTGGAACAAAAACGATGTTGAATATATCAACAAAATCAAGGAATATTTTAAAAGTATATTTAAAGATGATCCTATACCGTTGGATACGGCATTTGAAAGAAGTGATGTGGGGGTTTTATTCGGAACTATAATGAGATACTGTTCTACTAAGTTCGAATCTAGACTTAAAAAACTTAAGGATGATATAACTAGCAACAAATTTTATCTTTCACAGAATTTGCTAAAATTAAGGATGTAATTGAAGTACGTGGATACAGAATGTCTAGCATTTGTAGCAGGTATTATAAAACGGTCAAAGATAATCCTGCAATTTAGGAACAATTTCTAAGATATCTCAAAAAGGTGGGATCTTATTATTCAATATCAAAATATGCGCCTGTAATGAAAAGTACAAAAACCAATTTTCTGATATGGATTTGGTTATGTTGAGCCCGTTAAAGTTCCTCGTCAACCCATATTTTCATGGGCGAACATTATTCAAAAGTTTGTTCATGTTACCAGAGAGTATGAAAAATTCAAGAAAAGGTGTTTGGATGATCATGTTATATTGGAAAAATTAAAGGAGATATATGGGATAGATGGTAACGACAATCCACATTTGGACAACGAAAACATTGAACAACGCTTATATTTACATGCGGAAATAAATATATTGACTGATATTATAGACAAAAAAGATAAAAGACCGATATTTATAGCGGTATCTAAGTATTGTTGTTACTTATGCATATCTTCACTTCTGGAACGCATAATAAGTTGTATCATAGATGGATACTTCCAGATACAAAGGATATCACCTTCAAAAATGATGCCCTGAAAATTATGATAGCGAATCTTGACATTGATATTAGGGCGAGATCTGATAGTGAAGGAGAAAGTAGGGATTCCGATAATGCTAAACATATTGATCATGTAAAAGTTGATAATTTGATCGAAACCTTGGATATCTAGATCTTTGTATTTTACCATATATATATATTTTTTTTTATCAATAATGATGCTTAATTAACAATTTTTATTAAAATTGTATTGTATGGTCAATACATTTAAAAAGTTAATTATCAATGTTATTGAAGTAGTGGTCTCGAACCCTTACTCTTAAATAAGAGCTATCTAATGCTAATTTCCGAAATAAATTAACTAATTCCTATCCACACGTTCTTCTAGAATCTAGCCGCAACATACCTAGTTATTACTTTGCAAAATATACCTGTTCGTTTGATTGATGATATGATGCAAAAGTAAGTTAGATTTGTTTGATCATGAATGGATCCTACGTAGTGAATTATCGGGAATATTTTTTCGAATAGAACTTTTTTGGATGTATTATGTATGGTGCTGGAAGTCTATACTAGAAAATCACATGAATTTACAAATCGAAAAGCATTGTTAGTCTTTAGCTTGAATTGAATTGACCAATCAAACCGCATATATAAATCGATTTTGTCAATTCGATGATAAATTTATCAAACATTAATAAATAAAATTAATACTGTATATCTTCTATAATTTAATATACAACGGCATAAAAATTAATATAACAATATTACACTACTAACAAAACTATAGTTACAAACAAACAGTAATTGATTAAGAAATTTTTCCATAAAAAAAATAAAAGTCCGGGCGGTCCAATTTTTTTTTTTATTTTGTATCGTGAAAATTTTGGCAGTGATGTTAACGACGGTTTAGATCACGATTCGATCATAAGGTTGATCTTAGTCCATCGATCACAGGATCATCAAAAGCTGTAATTATTGCCATCTGAATATTCTGGCAATTTTTAAAAATCTTGCAACTATATTTATCATTTTATTTATTTGTTTATTTTATTAATACACAGCTCCTTTAAAAAGAAAAAATTTCCGCCTATATAGTTCTATTAAAGAATTAGCTAATTCTTCTAATGCAGAATTTATCCAGAAATTATATAGGAAGTTATTAGCAATCTAGCACATATAGCACAATAACAATTTTAAGAGGGTAAAAATGGCATCAGCAAAAAACTTTATTTGAGAAAATACATATATAAACAAGTACATCAATTACAATAATAATAATAATAGCAAAGAAAAGAAAATACAGATAGAGAAGATAAAAACTCAGATAACAGAAAACCTGTATTATCTGTAAAATATCAGGTTTCTTTAAAATATCAGATTGCAATAATTCGGTCCACTTTTTTTTTTAATACTAACATCAATCTTACAACAAATTTGTTTGCCGAAAAGTCTGATTCAACATGACGAGATCATGGTTTTTTGTAACAAGTTTCTCATCTTTCGCTCCATCTGGCCATTGAATATCAACATGATTCATAAAATGTGAATAACGTGCAAAGCCAGCCTTTTCAGACCATTCAAAATCAATTAATTTCACATCAAAATTGTTTTCCTTAAGCTGATGAATTAGAATGTTACCTTCACGTAAGTCTCCATGCACATGTCCTGAATCATGCAAATGCTTGACAACTATTTTAATTTTCTCTCTTAAAGAACTTCGAGCTTGATCATTAAGGTTAGAGGTAGCGTGCTTTAAAATTGAATGATCGCCCAGGATTTCCATATAAACCAAAAGACATTTTCCAGGAATTAATGAAGTAGCAATGACTTTTGGAGCATATCCAACTTTCGCTAAAATATGGTGTGTATCAAGTGAGTATTGATGCTTTCGAACTGCTTTCACATAAGCTTTTGAATATGATCCTTGTTCGTCTAAGAATGTAACTTCCCAAAGAAGATAACTACCAACTTGAAAATTAATCTGTATGTTATAAGATTTATCATTTATAGTCACTTCTGGAAATGAAGGATGCGAGAGATAATCAGTTTGAGGGGTGCATTGAACTAATTCATCAACTTGTATATAGTGTTCATCGAAAAGTTTGAGTGACTTCTTCAAAGCACGAAATGTTCCGGAAAGTGACAGCATCATTTTTTCATTAACCTTGTACTAAAGAAGGGGAATAACAGGAGTAAGCGAATCGACTACAGCTTTATCCAGAAGCACAGTGCCAAATACAGAAAAGAAAGGTCCTAAAATGTAATCAAAATTACTCAAATTCTGATGAAAATATAAAATGTCAAATTTATTACTATACCTGCAATTATAACTAAAAAGCAAGGAAAATTGGTCACATGAATGGATGGATTGTTTTCTTGTTCCTTGCAGAAAACTAAATAATATCCGCAACTTTCAAGATGAGGATAGGTGCTGGAACTACATTGTTCTTTATTGTATTCTATATTAAGCATACGATACGCGTTAAGACCAGAATAACTTATAGTGCCATCAGTTCTGCAATTATTATTGAGCTGAATTAGTTGAACGTTGCAGTTAAAATATCTAGATAACATTTTGTTTGAGATAACTTGACGCTCTTCTTTGCTCTCATAAAATTTTGCCATTTCAATACAAAATGTGTAAGTGAAAAGATTGTCTTCAAATTCTGGAACTTCTTCACAGAAATCCTGAAAACATCCAAAAATCAGACAATACAAGCTAACAGGTGTTATGCTAGAGGCTGTTGATAGACGATGATTAAGATAAATAGGTTCATTTTTTTGCTGCTTGAACCATTCATTAGGTTCTCCAAGTTTTGATGGTGCCGGCAAATCAGCCAGAATTTTCATGTATGATCTTTTAGTACCTGCAAGCAAGAAGATGTTAGTTCAGATTATTTGCAATTGATTGATAATTAAAATATTGTACCTTTCTTAACGTCAAATATTCTGACTGGATTATTAATCGAGCATTTGTTTAATTCAATGAAATTGATAAATTCCTTTTTTGGCCAACCAATATCTATTTCTTTATTTCTAATAACAAACTTATGATCTATTATTGAGCCCTTAAGACCAAATGCCTTTTCCAAATGGGTATATAATTCACACATATCCTTCCAACTATCTGAAATAATATTTATGACTTTTGAATCAAGGTATTAGAAGTATATGGCAACTTAAAATAAAATTAATACATTAATCAACTCAAGCAATATAATAAACATTCTCAATGAATTTAAAACAGTATAGGTTTGAAGATTTTCTGTGATACCTACCTTGAGTCTGTATTGCTGCTAGCTTTTCTCTCAATTCTTGTACCTCCTAACTTAATGGTTTTGTAGACTCTGTATAATAATAGAAAAGTACAAGTTAAAAAAAAAAAGAAAGCAATGCAAGTTTCGAAGAAAAAGTATATGAAAAAAATATCAAGAGTTGGATTAATACATGCTATTAAAATAAAGATGCGTATGGAAGTACAAAAATAATTCTCAGCACTTACGTGACAACTCAACAATAATATATATATGATCTTTAGGAGGTTATTCAAAATAATCTTGAACATATTTTGATGCTAATAGCTTAATACCTTCCAAACGTTATTCGATCACAGCACGATTCCTATTGATAAGTACATTTAACTTCTCATTTGATTCAGAGAGGGAGACATTAACTTTCCACAATTTGAGTTGATTAGAATCAACAGAGGCGAAAAAAATTTTCGTTTCATTCTTTATAACTTTCTTAAGTTCAATAACAGATTCCTTCTTGTTGATCGCAGCATAAAAACAATTCTCATATGGATCGGCTCCCTCTACTAAGCAGATTAATTTAATAATATCCATAATATCTCACCCCATATTTACCAAAATCATTAAAATACTCGAACTTTAAGTTATTGTACTCTCTAAAAAAATACTTATTTTAGTTAACGCGTAAAAACGTGTAAAAATGCATGGATAATCATTTGATAATCTATTGAATCAATATTTAAGATCAAAGTCCATCAGTTCTATAATCAGGACCGTTCAACGTTAGACTGTTAACTTCTTTACTGATCATTTACATTCATTAATAAACAAAAACTGAACTCAATTTCGATTAATTTCAAAGTATTCATAAGCTTATGTCAAATTTATATTAGCTGGTTATAGGTAAGTTTCTAGATCTTTTAATGATATTGTTATCACAACTAATCCTTGAAAACTTTCAAAGATGTAGAAAGGGAAGGAAATTTCGAAAGCTTACTGTGAATTTTTTGAAGATACAATCCAAAGAGAAAAACTAATACAAAAAAAATGAAAGCAGAAAGAAATTACTGAAGTTATGTAGGTTGTATTTATTTTCTGAAAATTAAATTTTTTTTTTTCTTGAAAGTCCAAAACGTTTAGTTATGAATATGTGAGCGAGAATGCCAAATTTCAGGCATTCGAAATCATCGCAAGGGGGAAACTCCCAAAGATGAAGTTGTTCTTCTGACTAGAGGTTGGAACTGGTTATAACAATTCAGTTTTAAATTTAGTTTCTAACCGGTTTCGATAAATCTGGGTTCAAGTTTTTGAGCAACGCAGTTGAAGAAACCGGTTGTTTCAAAAAAATGACAGAGAATCTCGAATCTTAACTCTCACAAGAAATCTCAACATCTCTTCAAGAAGCATCTTTCAACCATTTTCTCGGCAATGAAGTTTTTATGAAAATGGAGATTCAAAACTTCATAAAATGATTTCACGATGCTTTAATGTCTTATAGTTATATAATTTTATATTATGTCTGGAAATATGTGGCTGATACAGTATAGGGAGTTTTTTTTTATTGTAGATATGATAGTATACTGAGGGTACTTTCATTAAGGATGTAAATTTCCTTTATCCAATCTTTCGTCTATTTTTCTCTGACGACAAAGAATATAAACTTATATTAAACCGTTTGAAGTGGGGATCTTCCACTTTACAATATAACACATCAGATACTGATAATTTTTCACAACTGAATTCTAGTACCCGCTATAACAATCAATATACATTTTTATATTTATAAATAATAAATTTGTTTAAATTAAATGATTTATTAATTATTTTATTTGTATTTATTAGTAATCTCTCAAAGCATATTTAAAATATTTATTGGTTTCTTTGTAGATTAATTTAAAGTTTAATAAAATTAATTCCTTTAGTACTTGATGTTTAACCAAATTTTTTGAAAGTTTATTTATGACAATCTTAAACAAAACCTTTTTTATAAATTTATAATAGAATACCGTAACTTGGTTATGTCCATACTAAATGTTGAAATTTATCTTTTAGATGTCTTGATCATCTCAATATAAATATCAAAAATTATCAGCTTTATCTGAGATGTAAAAAAACTGATATTTATGATTGTAAACGATGTATTAGATAACCAAAATAATCTTTTAACTGGTATCCAAAAGCACATCTTCCTTCTAAAATTCTTGGAGATGTAAAAAGTAGAAAGTGATTAATAATAATAGCTTTAATTTTATCAGACAATTTACACTGTGATGACATGTTTCAAGAAGCTAGCCGATTATTACTTTGCGGAATATACGAGTTCGTTTGATTGTAAATATCTATGATGCAAATAATGGTTAGATTGGTTTGCTTAGTGGTTTAAGGACCAATCCTTTGAAATACAACGCATCAAGAAATCTGATCATCATGTGTTACTTATTATATTAAAATTTATAGTTTTGATTTAATTAGTTGAACGAACATCTCAGTGTATAAGAAGACCAAATCTGTTGAACTTTTCAGTAACTTTATGAAGCGAAAAGGTAGGATTACATCAGTATTGCACAAAGGACGTGATCATGACTTCGAACATCCACAAATTTCATTTGTCTAAATTACCTATCTAACAAATTCCCAATATTAGCCCATAAACCAGTTTAATTTATCCCAATTTTGATCGATAACTATCTTAACGTTATAGTAAGTGAAAATTCCATTAGCGGTTAAGATAGCGTTCTTTCGAGCTGTAAAGAGGTTGATAATTAATTCCTTGTAAAGCAAGTTTTAGGAATTTGAGATCCACCCTATTGTAAGCTTTAGGAGAATCCAGATTTCTTTTTTTTATATATAGAGTCTGCTAAGAGTATGTTCATAATTTTAATAGGTCCTTCAGGAAGAACAGTAAAGTTTCTTCTTTTTAGTCCACTTGTTAGAACTAAATCTCAATTTTAGATTATTGATCCATCTTTTTGATCTTAATCTATTTGATAATACTTTGTTTTGCTCTTCTTTAAGGTAAAAGGTTACTTTTATTTTGTCAGGTTTTTAGTTCTTTAGTAATCTTAGTTAATTATGTCATAAGAAACAGAAATAATGTCTCCATTATGTTTAGCCAAGATTTTTGAAAGTCTGTTATTGAGAATTTTTATGAAAACTTTATGAGCTGAGCTGTCTTAAGAAATGTGCTATTTTCCACTCATTGGAAATTTAATGGAAAACGAAAAATTTTATTCATTACATTTGGAGCATATGGAATGACAATATCTCTGACATCTTTCTCAACCTCAACCCAGCCTCGATCAGCTCAGTGATGTGCTGTCTCAATACTTCAAGCTTGGATGACATGATCGATAATACTATATAAAGTATTTAAAATCTGTGAAAATCCCTTTCGAAGCTATGCTTTTTCAGGGTGGAACAGAAAAAAAAGTTCAAGAGTTTATTACACCATGTATTCATCCCTCAGAAGAAATCCTCTTTCGAAACCAAGAAGATATGTTTACTTTCACACCCCGAAATCTTTGATTGAGGGGTAGGTTATTCCATATCCGATTTGGCGACATGCAAAAAATAAATACAAATCGGGTCTACTTATATAAACGTTTCTACGCTAATGTACAAGAAAGCAGTATGTGTTCCTTAATATATTTTTGATCTGAATAAAGCATTAGTGTTAATTTACATCATTTTTGTGCAGTACAACTATATTTCTAGTTTTATTAAAAGTTATACAAATAGCATTATGTTTACAAAATAGCATTACTGTATGTTTACAAATAGCATTTATGTTTACAAATAACATTAATAAAGATAAAAAAAATTTGAAAAGGTATACAGTGAGACCTCTCTAAATGCACCCCTTGGGACCATAGTGAAAATTTGAAAAAATGTGCATTTAAAGAGGGTGTGTATTTAAAGGGAGAAATTTTGTATGATCTTTATATACTTGGGGATGTGTGAAATGTGCATTTATAGAAAAAATATATATGCATGCATTTAGTGAGGGTGCATTTAGAGAGGTCTCACTGTACATAAATTCATTGTGAAGTCCACCACGGTTTTAGAAGTTCGTCAGAGCATGGACGAATTATAATATCTTTGCCATCTAAAAACATTGGTCATAAAAGGTTTTTAGTCTATTCTATAAATCACAAAACTAAAAAATTTACTTACACCAATCATCATTCTTGGATTCTCTCACAAATTCCTCATTGTCACCTCTCATTTCAAGATTATCAACATGTATTATCATATTCCGCCACACCAGATTTTATCGTATTAGAAGAATGTTCCTTTACAATTGTATACAGAGTATCTACTATTAATATCTTATTTTGGAGCTTTACATAGGTCAGAAAAAACTGCCACTTACATGGATTAATTCCTCACAAAAGGTTTTTAGCCCGTTACCTTGCCGTTCTTGTTCTACCTATCATGAGAAAGTTAGAGAAATGACAGTGCACAAACTTTTTTTATTTAATGATAAAATGATAAAGTATGTCTTCTCCAGAACAAATAGTCCTTTACTAACGACAAAGTTTAGGTGTCTGAATTAAGAACACCTGGAGTGGGTACCAGTATCAAAACCCAGTAATTCTCCTGAGTCGACCGGGGCCAACTAGAAGTTACCTGCCCTTTGCAAAATAAAAAAAAGTGCACCTTTGTTTTAAATGATATAAAATCCCCATCAGTTAACATATCTTTTGCTTCTTTTAGGAAATTAAAAATCCAATATCCATCGAGGTTATTCACTTCCCCTGAAAATATAAAAGCAGAGATCACTGTCTAAAAAGCTACGGTACGACCTATTTTTTCTTGTTAATATATAAGAGACTATATCTAGAAAGTTCGATTAGAAACTGAGTGTATTTTACTAAAGCAGGTTTGCATGTTATAGAACTTACCATCATGGCCAAAATATGATTTAGGAGTTTCTTCATAAATAATGCTTGGAACTCTACGCGCGAGGCTTCTGATGTTGGGTTTACTATTAATCTAATTATTTCAAAAAAATAAATAAATTTTAAAAACGTGCAAAAAAAATAGTTGTACAGTATTTTCTTACCTGAATGTAATCTCGAAGAATTTTATGACGGCGACACCTCCTCTTCTGAGGCCTTTTCCAATAAAATCACATTATAGATCATATTATTTACTATGCCTCATGACTTGATTTTACTGGAAACGATCTATATTATTTTTTTGCGAAATGAGTAAAGCCTATGTATACGCGCCTAATTTTGTTCATGTTTGATCTGCCGAGGAATCTCGTGATTTCGTCATCACACGTACAACGATATATAAAATATATCGAGTCGGAAAAATCGATTAGCACCATGATGACATTTTCCTAGAATCAATTCCAACATACCTTTCTCTTATTCTTTGGGAAATAAACTTGTTTGATTAATGATATCGATGATGAAATAATGGTAAGCTTGATTAGATGTATTGTATAATAAGTTTTATTAATAATTATTTTTTTTTTCTTTTTTTCTTTTGACTTGTATTTAATTCGGAAGATGAAATTTCTAGTAAAGGCCTCTTATTTTTTTTATTTAATAGTTGCGAAGCCTTATTAAAACCATTGGATGACTATACAATTTAAATTAATTGTCAATATAAAAATATAATAATATTGATATAATAAAAATGTAAAAAATATCTTGTCTTGTAATGCATCATCTTTATTAATACCAACATGTTTTACAGTTCCAGTCAATCTTTGCATAACTGAATTAAGAATATTTCTTTTTTTTCCTTTGTTATTTTAAGATAATTGCGCATTCCAGCTGATGAACTGTAACCTGAAATTGCCATTACTTCAACTTCTTCATTTCCAGCATCAAATATTGATTGAATTGCTATATCAAGTCCTGAATGATTAGAGATATTTCTTTCAGATATATTAATACTACATACTAGACAAATTTCTCAAAACATTCCTCTAATTCATTTTTCTCCAAGTCCTCAATCATAATACCATATTCCTTTGAAAATTGCTAAAAAAAATTAGAAATTCAAATAATTAAAAAAATATTTACCTGATATATTTGTTGAGATTCCTAAATAAAATGTTTTAATTTTACAATTTAAAGGCCTCATTAAAATATACTTACGAATATCTGCATTAGGTTTAGCCACATCCTTAATATCTGATGGAAATGGTATTTCAAAAGTAAATTGATTACCTTCTAATCCTTCTTGATCATTTTTTTGTTGAAATTTCTTAAAAATAAATACCTTTTCTATATCTTCAAATTGGTCAATTAGTAAATTGTAATGTTCGTTACCTTGTGAACATCCTAGCAGACAAATCCAAAAAAACTTTCTGAAGCAACTCTTCAGGTTCATTTGAAAATATGACATTATTAGATAAGATAATTTTTAATTCCTCATTTGTTAAACCTTTATATAATTTTGGAGCACCTATTCCTAATCTTTTCATTTCTTTTAAGGTACCATCAAATGTAACATGAAGTTTTGAAAAATTCTTTTTATTTAAAAGATTATAATTCCATTGTGGTTTGGAATTTTTAAGATAATGCCTTATTGAGATAACAGCATTTTTAAGGAAGCTTTTGAGTATTTTTCGCCTTTTGTTGTTCTCACACCATATATAAATTCACACATTTCATTTTCTATTTGTTCATTAGAGAAAAGTGATTCTAAGATGTAGGTATACTTTACATTTTTGTGCTAAGTATTTAAAATATTGTTACCCAACTAATGATTAGGTGGATTGAAATACATAATCAATTGAGTAGTAGCAAGATTTAGTTCAAACATTGTTAAGTTTTGGAAAAGACTTCAGTTGATTTAGACTATTGTTAACTTCAGTATTCTTTCATAATTAAGTTTCAGAATTGGCAAGTATAATGACTTTCAATTCTTCACGTAAGACAAATAATTTCCTTTGACATAGGAAACTCTCAGTTGACGTTACAAAGTTTATTTGTAACTAAGTTGGTAATGTTTAAGTAATTTGAAGATAACTTAAACCTAGATGACACTAAGCAGGGTTGATGACGTTAAGTAATTTACAATTACTTAACCAAGGTTTTCACAAGCGAGTTGATAACGTTAAGTAATCTAATATTACTTAACCAAGGTTGACACAAAGTAGGTTTGATACAAAGCAATTTGTTTGTTACAAGACAATTTAGCAAGAGTTTTTATTATCTTATAAAATTAACTTCCTAAATTTCTATCAATACATGATAAAAAACTCAGCTTATTTATAATGAAATTTTACACTAAATTGTTACAGTACAAAACCTCTATAATAGACAATTAAAAATCTTAAATAAAATCTGATTGTATGATTAAATTTTAATTTAGTAAAAAAAATTAAGAACTACTTGTAAAAAGGAATCGATTTATAAAATAAAAAAAAAGTCTCAAATTTATTTGCTTATGTAATTTATCACGTGATACTTAATAAGTCAATCATAATCGAGAATATGATAAATCACATGATTATATATTTACTAAATATAAAAATAACAAAAATTCGATTTTTAATGCAAATTGAAAATTTTATTTACTAATATCTAAATCAAGCTAATTATAAATGCTATTAGGAACCCTCTTATATGATTTATATTTTTTCGCTGCAAATTCTACCATTTTACCTGTAATTCCCTTTCTATATATATTCATATAACGCCAAGATTTTTATGCGTAATGATGAATTATAATTAAAGGAACCGAATCTAAGGCTTTAGGAACAATTTCTTGTAAACCTGCCTAAGTATATTCATAATATTCTCTAGTATATCGCTTAGCTGCACCCCACTACATTTCTATATAATTTAATTCACAATAATATTTTGGGTAAAAGATACATTTATGTCCTCTTTTTTCTATTTCAGTTTGTAACCTAAATTTCTGTGCAATGAAATCGGGCTGTAATGATAAAATTCGACGCATACAACAATTTACTCTTTGAAGATCTGTTATTTTTTCCTTTCCCTTACATAATTTACAATCTCCAATTAAACCATCTCTTTATAAACCTCTTTCTACAAGAATTTGTCGCATACCTTTAGCTTGATTTGGATATTTTGGATGATCAGATAGAAAAACCATTGATTGTGATATATTTTCTAATCCAAAATATGTTGAATGCATCAATGGTTGCTTTCCTTCAGGATTAACTTTCATTTTTGTAGCATTTAAACCATCTTTTGGCATTGCATCATGATTAGTGCTATTATCAAATGTCATTACAGCAATTACACCTGGATAGATAGTTTCAAAAATAGGGATTGCATAATTTATAACTTAATCAATTAAATGATCTGCTATCCACCAGCCTTCTTCATTTTTTCCAGGTTTTAAATATTTACGTGCCTCAATAGGAATATTTGGATTTAATAATGATTGTTCAGAAGTTAATTTTAACCAGTCAATTGTTTTAAGCAAAAATTCACTAACCATTATTGATTTACCTTGACCTTTTTTTCGAAGTGGAGGTTCTCCAATTGGTGCTCATACAATTGGACGATCATCATTTTCATAAAATAAACATTCATCATGCGTGACAAATATATGCAATTGTTGATCATCAGGAATCTCTGGATTAATTTGTGTCATCTCATCTCCAACAAATGTTGGCATAAATTGTTCAAGTTCCTTCATTTTTTCTAAAAATGTTATATGATATTCTAACACATTTTCTCTTTCATGACTATCAAAATATATTTCTTTTTTCTTAGATTGTAGTACTAATCCAATTTTCTTGAACCAAATCTGAGAAGTTTTCACTGTAATTTTCTTATTTATCGCAATTTCCATTTGTGGAAAAAGTACTGAATTAATAAAATTTTGATAATCCTTTGGAGTGGTTTCCCACTATTTTGCCAAATAAAAACAAAACTACTATTAATAACATCTTTATCATCAATAAGTACCTTTGTTTTTTGATGACAACCTTGCATACTTTTATATAAACTTCCATTTTTAAGCCAAAACTTAGCCTATTTTCGAATATTTCTTGCTTGATAAAAGCCTTTATTATAAACTTCTTTTGAGATACATTCACTTGCTTGTATTTTACCTAACTTATGCACATCCAAATAAACAAAATATTTATGTATTACCCAATACTGTAGATAATCATAAGCTGTCTGTTTTTTTTTATTGCTTAGAATATACTCTAGCTTTTTAAGTTTTTCATTATTATTTTCAGTATCCAAAACATCATTATTACTATTATCAGAATTATTATCTGTATCCAAATTATCAGTTATACTTTCATCATCGTTTACATCTAAATCAATAGCATTCACATCAGAATCTGTATCTGAAGTTTCTGGTTTACCTTTGTTTTCACTATCTGTACTTTCTTCATTTTTTTTAATTGGAAAGTATTGTGTAATTAGTTTAACACCTTGCGCGACTTTTGTATACACACCCGAAGGACCGTATTTACGAAATTTTGTAGCTCTTGATATTACAACTTTATTTTTGGAACTTTTTTTTCGTTTTTTTAACCAAATTAATTCAAGTTTCCTAAGATTATTTATTGTTTGTTGTAAATTGTCTACAAAATTATCATCAGATTCACTTGTAAAGCTTTCATTTTCAGAGAAAACAAAATCTGAATGTTCAGAGGAAACAAAATCTGATTCAGAAATATTTAAAACTTTTTCAAGTTATCCAGTTTTAATGTTTCGAGTACATCCTCGCAGTTTTTTTTTTGCTATTATAACTTTTTTCGTTAAAGGCATGTACAATAAAAAAAGATGCAGATTAATATAACTATCAAAGGTCTATCTATTGATATAGAAATTGTACTATCGTACAATTTTGTTATAATCTCAATTTGTTAATTTCATAATAAAATTGGCATTACTTTGAACTGAAATAACTTTTGAAATATTTATTTATATAAAAAATTAGTCGATAATTAGAAAACTTTAGTGTTGTTTATCATTTCTATTGGATAACATTTTGAATTTAATTTTAATTTTTTATGCTTTACAAATTTTAGTCATGTTCATTTAATTGTCGATTATAGAGGTTTCGCACTGTATCTATTACATAAAAATTATGTAATGATTCCCTCATCTTTTCTATGTAATTTTGTTGTAATAATTGAGTAATAACTACTTAATCGCTATGCAATAGTCCTTTAACTATAATATATATATATGTGAATGATGTAAAGAATATAATTATATTATTCTTAAATTATTACTACATCCTTATACTTAGCCTTTGACTAGTTTCTCCTTGAAGTTCCTATTTGGAGTTTCTAGTTTAGAAGGTTATGCATGTCATCATAGGCTAATGATTTATTACTTCATTTCTTTATTAACTGATTTGGTTAATTTTACAGATCATTTCTGCAGATCATTGTGTCATTGATTCTGTAGATTAATTCACATGATGATCATTTGTAGATCACTTTTACTGCATTATATTTCCAATTCTTAAAGATTATTTGGGTTACAATATTAACACATTTTTCAATGCATTTAACTGTATTTAATGATATACAGCTCTGTTGAATCTTTGAAAGTTCCTCAACTGTAGATTTGAAATAAGTCTAAAAATTTGTTAGTTATTAAAATTAATATAATTTATAGCTTTAATATGTAAATTACTTACAATTTTCATTAATGAAATTAAGTTTACAAAAGTAAATTATTCGTAAAATTTGTAAAAAAGATAAAAATCATGAAAAAAATTGTTTGTGGAAAAAAAATATTATTTATTTATAAAAAAAAGTTTAAAAAAGTTAAAAAATATACCTTAATCACAGGAAACTGGATAAATCACTTATCTGGCACTTCGAGCTGAATAACTATCGCTATCTATAAGGTAGCTAAAAATATTATGAATAAAATTGATTTTCCAATATAATAGTCATCGGGAAATTTTTTAGGATGCAGAACTGCGCAAGTTCACGATTTTATAATTTTTGCGCAGTTCTTCAATAAAGTCATGCGTAATTTTCAAATAAAAATCTGTAGCGATTTGCATAAGTGTATATATATGTAATTTTTCAAATAAAAAATCTGTAACAACTTGCTTAAGTGATATATGCGTAATTTTTCAAATAAAAATTTTGCGCATAGATGAATCAGATGATTATTATTGATACAATCAGTTTTGGTTTACTTTAAAAGTCTATTTACGCATGTTCGTTCAACATTTTTATCATAAATTTTTCTTTTTTTTTCGTATAATAAACTGAAGTTCTTATAATAAACTATAGTTTTAGTAATAACTTTGCCAGTCACTTCAACTGAATATCTACTATTAGAACATATATTTATTCAATAAAAACTATTTTCCTTATCAAACCTTGAAATAATATACGCCTTTTGAAGTATTGAACTAATTGGAATAGTGTTATACTCTTTTATATTGTATAGTTGTGAGCACCCATAAAGTTCAGGTTCTGTTTGGTTGATATTATACTAGCAGATAAGAGTGAGTTCATATAATTCTTTATATGGGCCCTAAAAGAATTTAAACAGTAGCAATATCTTAAAGATATTTATTCTGTTATCTATTAATTTAAGAATTACATTTCGATATTCTTTAAAGTTCTGTCACTTACTTTTTCCTATCAGACGCCATCATCTGAATTGTAGTGATCTTGATCTTCTGCAGGAATTACCACCATATCACTGAAATATTCTTTACCCTGAAATTCTTTAGAGATTCTTAAAATCTTTTCACTTTCTAAATGGATGATTCGTAGATTTTGATATAAAAATCATCATTTTCAGAATCCTGCAAAGATTTATCTAAAAAGATATCTAGAGCTGAAACTACTTGGGATAATTCATTGATAAAATTCAGATGTGGTGAATTTTCCGATTTTTTAAAATCTTTTATTTTTCAATTAATAGCATCTAGACTAGAACTCTGAATTAAGTCAAGTCAAATTGTGACCTGACCCGATTTGACCTGAAAAATCCAGGTCAGGTAGAAAATTTTCAAGTCAATATCAGGTCAGGTCAAGCTTATGATCCGATCTGATAAAATTCAAGTCAGCCAATCAAATTAAACAAAATAAAATATTTAAAAAAATTTTTTTTTTGTTTATTTTTTTTTTAAAACTTCTTTAATTTTATTTAATATACTTTCTTTTTATATTCTAATAAAATTTTTTGTATAATTACTTTGTAATTTATTATAATCAAAAGTTAAATTTTAAATTATAAACATTTTTGCAATTACATTATTCAACAATTTAATTTTAAATTTTTTTTATTTGTTCAATTAATTCAAAGAGCAATTCATGTATTTTGGTCAAAGGAAATCAACTTTGGTCGCATAAGTATAGATGCTCAGTGGGTTCGAAAATATGTGTATATAAAATATTATTATGATTAGATTAATGGTTATAAAGTTATGCACGTTTATTGTAATTGTATTATTTCACGAAATTTTTATTTTTATTTTTTATCTATACAGTGACTTCAAAGAGCAATTTAAGTATTTTAGTCAAAGGAAATCAACTTTGGTTGCATAAGTAATGATGTTCAGCGGATTCGAAAATATGTGCATATAAAATATTATTATGATTAGATTAATGTTTGTAAAGTTATACACGTTTTTCGTAATTGTATTATCTCATGAATCTTTTTTATTTTTATTTTTTATCCGTATAGTGACTTCAAAAAGCAATTTAAGTATTTTGGTCAAAGAAAATCAACTTTGGCCGCATATGTAAAGTTGTTCAGTGGGTTTGTAAATATGTGCATATAAAATTTTATTATGATTGAATTAATAGTTGTAAAGTTATGAACGTTTTTTGTAATTATATTAGCTATTACCAGATTTGCAGATTTATCATAACTTGTAATTTTAAATTCTGCAGTTAAAATAATTAAATTAGGTATCTTTTTTTTTTTGAAAAATAATCATGTAAAAATGTATCAATATTTTTTTATATTTTTTTAAATAAAATTAATAATTGTTTAGTTTCCTTTTTTAGACAGGTCAGATCAGATCAGGTCAGGTCAAGTGTATATTTAATTCAGGTCAATTTTATGTCTGACCCGACCTGATCTTATCAGGTCAGATTAAGTCAATTACCCAATTCAACCTGACTTGTTCAAAGCTCTAGCTTATATAGATGATACCCTATGGTCAGGGTTGGGAATTTTGTACGTACTAGATAAAATTAACACTGTACTTGTACTGTACTTGTACTAATTTTTATATTACAGAGGACAGCCAAAAGTCTCTGAACACCATGTTTGACATCGTATATCTCAAGATGCACTAATCAAAATTAGTTCAAAATTTCATATAATCTTGATATA